GATTAGTGGAGCACGCATTCCGAACAGGCTAGCCTGCTCCTTCAAATTCCGTTATCATTATTTTTTCCTGGTTAAAATTGGCGGTGGAATCACAATAAGTACCACCAGCTAGAAAACCGGTTAAATGGGTTATTTCAGTACGGGAACCCTGGTAGTAGAGGATTTATGAGTAGACTATATGGGGAAAGCATAAAAAGCCTAAGATAACGGCTTCAGAAGTAGTTTTCAGACCTTGCGCTGCATCTAAAACACTCACTCGTCCATCAACCGTCCGTGTCCTGTGTCAAGAAGACCGGAAGCGGAGTCAGGCACAAGTGATACACACACAGTATTAAAGCCTGCCGTTTCCTGATCAGGCAGGGGCCAGGCTTAGGTGGTTGACACGACGATCCACCACACGTTCTCTCCCCCCCTCCCCACTTGAGCAGAATTTGTTATGGAAGCGCAACCGGGAAAACGCGTCTCGTACACTGGTTTAGGCCTCTTGCTGGCTTAGCCTACCTACCTACGGTGAGTCGGACACCTCTCCATACGCCGTAGTAGTGACCGGCAGAGTACTTTGCGCATCACCGAAACAAAAAAATGATACCTGGTGCTAAGGATTCTCATCGAATAAGTCGGACCCACTCCTGTCACAGGAATCAAAATCTAAGTGCCCCACACCCCTGCTTCTTAAGACTGATTGCTGCTTGGCAATATAACATATTTTTGCTGTCTTCGACTTCGAATTTGCACAAAAGAAGAGTTTTTGAGGAAAATTTATTTACTAAAATAGTCATGTAATGGATACAAGCGTCAAAATGCGCGAAAACTATTCTGAAAGTGTATACAATTATGACCTATAGGGTGGTAGTGGTTTCAGACGCCTCGATCCCCTCTTTCTTCAGGCGCTCAAGGATTGGTTTGTAGACTTCCGGTGCAAACGGGAGAACAAAGCCCTTTTGTTTAATTTCCCCTTTAAAATACACGGAAAATAGCTACTTTATTACAACGAAGGAGGTGTAGTACATCAAACATTTGACATAATATGTAAGTACTAAAAGTCTAAAATATTTTTAAGAAAACAGAAAAACGCAAGGATTTTTACTGTAACTAGATCGAACCATCCACAGCTCTCGATTTTCATCGGGATGCTGCGCGAAGCAATCGGCATTGTTTTCTTCCTGGTCCGTAAGACGTGCAGCTTATCATTCGAGGCCTGAAAACAAGCTCCTCTTATGCGGACCATCTGCAGTCCTATTCGGTTTAGTTGTAAGGCCGGTTAAGGGCACTAAGATGGTCTGGTTGTGATGCACCCGACAGCAAATAGAGAGGTCTGCTGATTCAACTCCGTATCGCAGCGCACTTATTTTGACTGCGCAAGTTTACCAATTTCCAGTAGTCAGTCAGCATTTCTTTGTGCATCGGAAGTAAAATTACTGTAACCTTGAAACGAACTGGAGGTATCTCCGTTTCCTCAGTAAACACAAATGGATAAGCGGATGCCCTACGGCGGTCTATTTTTGTGGTAGTAAAGGAGGTAAAAATACAGAAAATATAAATTAAGAATTAAACCTTAAATGATTACATGGTTCTGTCAAGCAATGCCCCTCCTCAAGGCCGAACCTTGTGAAACATGATATGAATGCTATTTGAACACACGAAATCGGCAGATATTAGTCTGGGCGTACACGGGAGAATCTCGGATCGGATGTATAATCCTCGAGTCTTGCAAGGTTCAAGTACCCTACCCATTAAATTCAAAAGATCATGAAATAGGACGTCTAAAAAACGATTGTACAAATTCATTCCATAGCGAAATTCATTTCTATTGGAAAACGTATACGCAGATATGACAGTGTCCAACTGGTCGGAACATCAGTAACTACACTTGGGAACTCATCTTTGCTCTCTAAATTTGTAGTGTCATTATTGTCGATTTGCTGGTGAGGAATAATTCGTCTACAACCGAAATGTCGTTCATGTGGTAAAGCTATTTGGTTGTTGAGAAACAAAAGGTCAAAAGACGAAATGGGAGGATTAAAATGAGCCTCGACCAACCATTGAGAACCATTCGGGCCGCTATAGATGCAGGCAGACCGACCGTGCGCGACATGGCTAAGCCGCCTCTGCCCTTGCCTCCTTCTCCGTAGATCACCAGGCGGACGGTCTTTAGTTCACGTCTCTTGTCCGGCCACTCGACTCCAATCTGGTGTGACATCACTATCAGATCGCGCTCATTTGGTCCTACAGGAGAAGAAAAGCCAGTTGATTTATGATAAGTTGAATATTTTTAAAATGCTAACACGCGATTTTTTTAGTAATTGCGGGTTTATGGTTAACTTACCGTAAGCCATGATGTCAGCAAAGTGCACACTCAGAGTGGAAAATGGATTGCCACACAGTTTGGCCTTCTTCTCGCCCAATATACCCAGTCTATGGAAACCAGAGAGAAGGGAAAAAAGTGTGCATTTTATATGGACGATTTTGGAAATTTCCTTATGAACACAGGCTTAAAGCGTCTAATCAAATAGTTATGCGAGCAGTAACCATAGAATTAAGGAAACATGCCATCAGAACCTACGTAAGAACCGCCTGCACGGTCTCCTCCGGCATGTTTAACTTCTTCCTGATCGCGGCCTCGACTGCTGCAACTGAGATTTTGGGATCCAGTCCCAAAACCACACACGTTACCTCCTTCTGTAAGAATAAAAGTACATCGACAACCCATTGACACCAAGAAGAACGCAAAGTATGCAACAAAAATAATCAAGGCTACGCATACCCAGCTCATCGGAGGACAGGATGGAGCTAGCTTGTCATTCGGATTCTGGTCCATGAATCCGAGGTTTATTAGTGCCTTGATCACTTTCGTGAACCCCTTATAACGCAGTGTGCCACGGATCACCGTGTGACAGTCCTTCAGTTTGTAGATGTCCTTGTAGGAGATGGAGTCGCGGTTGGGATAGCCCTCGAGGTTAAAACCAACCAGATCGTTCATTTCGTGCGCGTGGTCCATCAGCGCACCGCCGGGGGGGATCTCCTTGACCTAAATTACAATCAGATAGGGGAGTGCTACCGTGAGATAGACTATGGTATTTTTTCACATGCATCTAAATGCAAAGCTACCAGTCCCACCTTTCCGTCTTCCAGGTAGATGGCGCCATTGAGGACGGTAGTCATCGCTGCCTCAGGGCTCCAGCTGAACTTGTAGCGCAGGGGGTTGTCAGCGTACTCAGGGGCTGGAAGGCCGCCCGTATAGGACTCGTAAGAGATTATCTTCCCACCCTTTGCATACGTCTCGTCAAAGCACTCCATGGTGAGCATATGGTCGATTCCAGGGTCCAGACCTACTTCCATGACAGCCGTTATTCCAGCATCCTTGATTCTAGTAAGTGGTTAATAAAGCCCAGTCTAAGAATCCCTCTGATTTAACATTTGGTTAGAAAATGTTACCATGTGGTGATGCCAAGCAGTAAGGATGCAAAAGCAAACAAATATAAGCACTTACTGCTGTTCCATGGCACGAAGCGTTGGAGATAAATAGCTGGCAGTAAGGATGTGTTTTTTGTGTTGGATGCAGACGGGGAAAACCTGAGCATGGAACTTCCAGGGAATCATGCTCATTACGAGATCATGCTCAGCAACAAGTTTGCCCAATCCTTCGGTATCTTGCAAAATGTTCAATTGCTTCACGGAGATATTCGGATAGGTCTTCTTGACACTCTCCAGGTCGGACATCAAATTGGAAACTATTTTCATGGAGAATAAATTAAAAAATAGGTGCATCTCAGAAGGAGTATGCTGCACGCTAAAAGCATGGACGATGCAGCATGCGAGTCGACCACCTACCGACGGTAACTTTAATGTCGCCATCCCGAGTTAGGTAGCCAATTATCGGTGGAACAACAAATCCAGCGCCCAGAATGAGCACTTTGTGTTTGACGCCATTTGCAGCCTCCTTCTGTTTACGCAAATCCGCGATGTATTCGAAGCGGGGAGTAAGTTTGCCATTGGAAGCGATCGTGCACTGAAAGTAAAGAAGAGGGTCTAGGCACGCATGAATTGTAACAAACAGCGCGCTATACTAGACGAGATAGACGTAGTAGTTCTTCAATTATGCCTCACAATTTGCATCCTAGGGTGATAATTTTATGGTCTGGCGACTACTTTATTCAATTAGAAGTTCATGCTGAGTAT